ATTTTTTTTTTTTTTTTAAAGGAAGAAATGCAGATCTCCAGCCCCACCTCAGGCCTATGGAGCAGAATCTGCATTGTAACCAGGTCTCCAGAGACTCACATGCATATTAAAGTTTTTGAAACACTCATTGGAGAACTAGATGTACACAGTGATAAAGGAGTTAGGCTCAATCTCTCCCTCCTGAATCTGACTTCTATTAACTGATACTTAGTAAGAATAGCTCAGAACACTTCAGAAAGGGCTGCACTAATATGAAGTGTATGGATAGAGAAAAAGAAAATGCCCTCCAAAAATCTGTCATCCCCAGCCACTTATGTCCTACTTGCATGTTTTACAAAGTAAGGCCCAGTGGAGTTCAGGCACCTGGATAACCTAGAGTGCTAGTTCTAAGTGCAGAGTCCAGGGCCCCATGGCAAATCTAGATAGAATCCAAACATCTGGAGGGTGGGAGCCAGAAATTGCATGTTAGCAAGTTCCCCTCAATGATACTAAGATTTAAGAATGATTCTCCCTACGCCTTTGATTACTATTGGATGATGGGTACAGATTTCCCTTTCTCGAGAACAAATATGAAATGTTGGCACCTCTGGATTCATGATAGGGAGGTGGCATTAGAAGAGAGACCAGCCTAAGTTGGATAACATAGTGATTGACCCTTCACCTCTTTCTGCCCCTAAGTAGGCGAGCACTGGTGTGATTCCTTGAAGAGGTAGTGCTAGAGAGATTAAAGGCAAGGTTACTGTTTGGGTGGGACCAGCATCTTAGACACAAGGTTCCAGCACCTCTTGAACACCCCAAACTCCTAGGCAACTTCACTCTTTTGCTGATTTATTTTACAAAAATGCAAACGGCATTGGGAAACCATGGGCCATCCACACCCAGCCTACAAGACCTTTTTCTTCTTATTAATCACAGGGGAACTGAAAGGAAATGCTAGTATTTGTCTTGGCTGGGTTAGCGTATCACTAGTTCACCAGTCAGGTACACTAGATGAGAAAATCTTTCCATACTGGAGTGCAACATCAGTGGAATTTTTACAATCCCCAGACCATGCCTAGAAAATGGCGTCTGTGTTTAGGTGTGGTTTTGTGTGATGGAGCATTTGCTCACTTGTAGGTAAAACTGCCAGCAGCCTGAGGTTTGGAAATGCCTTGTTCATCAGGGATGACATCAACTGAAGCTGTCACTATAATTGCTTACAGAGTAAGAAGTTGCACTGCACAACTCCTTAGGCAAGAAGCATATAACTTAATAGGAAACAGCCTGGGCCTCATCAGGGCCACACTGTGCGTCCAAAGGGGAAGTTCAGTGCTAAGTCAAGCGTTGTCCCCACAAGACTAGCCCTTGGGAGTCCTGGGTTCTAATTCCAGCAGCGCCCAAACTCTTACCATGTCTCATTTTAGCTTCTCCATCTGTACATTAAAATGGTCCCTCTAAGGTCTCAGTGTCTGAGGGGCAAGAGCATCTGAAACCAGAAAAGAACTCAGGCAGGGTTGAAAAATACCTTCTTGTAGAGCAAGTATTTGACCTTCTCTCTGATCTGAAACACACACAACCAGGAGAAACACACCTGGGAGTCATTCATGGGAGCAGATGGTAAACGGGAGGAGGGGTGAGGGTGGCCTGCGGTGCCCCCAGGAGCTTCTCCAGCCCACCCACACCCAGCTACTCCTTGCAAGTCATGACACTGAGGCCAGAAAACATCACTGAGAAAATCAGGAGTGGGGTAAGAATGCCATGGAAGAGGATGAGTGGTGTACTATCAGGGGGAAAAAGTCACAGCTCACATGATCATTGATAATTGAGTGATTTTAGTCAAGTGAATATTGATACATGGCAGAAAAAGCATGAAAATAAAATGAACACATACGGGAATTACTATTAACACAAGTGATAACATCAAAACATCTGGTAAAAATGCAGTTTAAAAACACACAACACAAATGAAATGGAATGTAAAACATTTTCACAGTATTCAAAGCTTTTATAAAAGATTTAGACTCTAAAAGAGGAGTGCTACGGGAAGGAACTAGAGGAAACAAATTTCATCTGTGTCCTATGTATCTGCGGGTGACAGGTCGGGACGGCCAGTACCTTACGCTGTGGGCATGACCGAAGGTGTGCTTCTCAACAGATTGTCTGATACCACCACATCTGTACAGTTACAACAGGGCAGCTAGTTACCAGGAGTCTGAGGAGAAACACAGCCTCTAGGTTTGGGAAAAGGGGTTTCTGTAATTTATAGATGCAAATGAAACCGAGCTCTGATTGGATTCCACCTTGGTGTTAACTCAGTGTCCTACTGGATATTCTAAAAGTAAAACGTTCCTGGAATTCTCGCCTCCCTTCCTATCTTCTAAGATAATTACTAATGTTTTCCTAAGATTGAGCTGAGTACTGCCAATGACCTCACAGGATTCTACCAAGAATGATTATCTGAAACTTGTACAAACAGGATCTTTGCACTAGCAATAATTGCCAAATCACACACGCTCCTCCTCTTTTGGGAACCGATGACCAAGCCAATGAGTCTGCACATTGGCTTTGTTGTGGCCTTTCTTGAGCAAATCAAAGGTTTAGGATAATAATACGGATTTGGGCCCACAGCCCTTTTACGTCCTGAAATCAGTGTTGTACAGAGGTGAGGGGGGGGGGGTCTCAAATCCACAGTAAACCTCAAAGTCCTAGGACACTGTGGTTGGGGTGAATCCAGCTGCAATTCATATTTCCAATTTACTTTGGACTTTTTCTAAAAATGTCACCTTCTACCTGAGAATTCCCATTTAGAGGGCTGCACAGCATGGCCACCAATTATTCTCCCATAATCTCCCTGCTGTAACTGCAAATACCCCACACAGACCCCTCACCCAAGGCCGCTGCCTTGGAATGAGGGTCCTTTTGCACTATGCTGTCGAAACGAGCAGACACAACAGATACATATGTTCCGTGAACTCTTGAGCTAATCAACCAAACCTAAAACCCAGATCCAAGCACTCATGAAATTGCGCTGAATTTCAGTTGACAATAGGAAAGTAGAATATTTCTAGTTAACTAATACACACACACACACACACACACACACACACACACACATTTTTTAAAACTATTCAAAATTACAGGCAAATCATTTAAGATCCCCCCAACACTTTACGATGAAAGTTTGGGAAAACCAAAAAAAGAAAGTATTAAAATGATGGGATCCCTAATTGTGAGAGGTTAATGACATCAGGATAACCCTCTCAGGTAGGTAATGAGGTTGGCAGGCAGATTTTTCAGTCTGGAGTCTTCGGACGTTAACAGCATGTCCCACTGTTTCTGTGTTGGGCCAGGATGGCGCGGGCAACACTGGCCGGCCTCTCTGCAGCACCACATTGGGGTAACCACTCGCCCAGAGGGACAATTGCTTAGGTCCTCGAGGTGTTACAGCGAATTAAGAATCAGGCTCGGGGAAGAAATTAGCATCGATTGTTTAGAACTGCTTCCTATACACTGAACCAGAGGAATGACGTTGCTTAAGTGAACAGGTTTACGCACATCGTTTATTAAACAGAAGGTTTTGAGAAATGCCTAGGGATGTCAGAAAAAAACTGCAGAGGTAGGTTGCCTTTGAAACTCTCTCCTTGAGTGAGGAGACACTTGTGGCTTAACTTACCCTCTGCAGAAATAAAAATAAAAATTGTTAATGCAGGAGCACAGGCAGCCTGGCCGTTCTGAATGTCTTTGACCCGTTGAAAGGAATCCATTTCTTCACAGGAAAGAAAGGAACTGGAAGCACTGTGAGTTTTGAAGAGTGTTGTGTCAGGGCCGGAGCAATCCAGGACTCAGGAGGGAGGACCCACGACTATCCACCAGCTACATCCACCTCCCACCCAAAATGCCGAGCGATAGCACCGCTCCACTACAAAGCTGCCTCAGATGCATGAGAGACCCTGGTCTTAGCACTCCTTTCAAATGCTCAGTGTAGACTTAAAAAAAAAAATCTTTGAAAAGCAACTGAGTTTTTTCAGTTGTCCTTCTTTAAGAAAATGTGAAATGAACAGATGACATTAGAACACTAATCTCTTCACCCAATTACAGTTCACCAGGACTAACCATTTGCTAGACTGTTCTAAATTTTTCTTTTCTTCTCTTACCTATGCTTTTGAAAAACCACTAGCCAAGGCCTCTGGGTCTGAATATAGTCAACTCTCTCAGCATGGGCCTGGTGCCATGGTGTTTCCCTTCCTCACACAAAGACCAGCCCGTGCTGCCCTCCCCGTGTGTGGGGGTTCGATCCTGACGGAGGCGATATCAGCTGTCACTCCCATGGCATCTGAGACTGGCTGATTCGTAGCAAAAGGCAATTCCCTGGGGAAGCAGGGCGGAAATGGCTCCGTTTTTCACTGCTACACACTGTGCTGTGCTTTTCTTCCCTGCACCTCCTGCTCCCTGGAACGGATCTGAAGTTGTAAGTGTGGTGGGTGTCCGTGTCTGCCTAAAGCAGACAGGAAATTACCCTGGAACCGAAAGCAACATGTCTTCCCAGGAGTTAGAATTTCCTAGTTCCAAAGGAATCGATTAGCTCATCGACCCACAAGCAATTTGTAATGATACAAAGTCATGGGCTTAGTGCTTGCTGCTGTCTCTTATGTTTTGCCTAATCCCTTTTTTGGTGTGGAACATTTTTATGTTTTTTTAGTGAGTGTGTCTCTGGTGGACTGTGTCTCTGGTTGAATGGTTTTGCACCTCCTTCTACTCAGTGACATGCGGCTCCAGACTGGAGATCAGACAAGACTTCCTAATCTAACAGGGTTTCCCTACCTGGGCGTGCGGCTTTAAATACTGGCTATGCTGGGACTGGAGGGGGGTATGGAGGGCAGAGGAGGGATGCTGCAAGAGGAAAGCCAATGGGATTACAACGTTCTCTACCCACAGAAGCAGTGAGTTTCGGCGTTGTCTGCTCAGCCCCACCCCTCACCCCAACCAGGGGCCCCCGCCCCAACCCGCCCTGCCCGTGAGCATCACTTAAAGACCGACTGGAAAGTGGGACACTCGTGGTTTTTCATCTTCTTCATGAAGTTTTTGAATTCCTTGTTTTTCTTGTCCCACTTGTGGATGGCCGTCAGCAGGTACTGGCTCTTCACCTTGCGGCCCATGATGAGGAAGTGGGGGCTCAGGTTGTCCAGCTGGTGGCAGGGGCAGTCGGCCCCGTTCTTCAGGTACAGGACAAGCTTCTTCAGCTCCTTCTTCTTGATGGGCCCCAACTTCAGGGGCTTCTTCTTCTTGGGGATGATCTTTTTGTCACCGTTCTCTTTCTTGACTTCTTTTATTTTCATCCTCAGTGCTAGAGTGGGTGAGGGCAGGGAGGAGAGGGAAAGAAAGGGGAGAGAGAATGTTAGAACACAGCTTTTCATGTAAACAATAACCCAAACCTATGGCTGAAGAGGAGGGTGGAATGAAAGGCAAACAGCAGGCAAAAGGAGACAGTTTTATAAATAAGTACCAACGGCTCAGTTAATGGATTCTGTCCCCCTGGTTTCGTGGTGCCTACCAGTTGCCGCAAGGTGCTAGGAATCTCAAATACGATTTCAAAACCAAAACACATTTCTCTTTTTTAAAACTCAGTGACTCAGAATATCACACAATGCTTTGAGAGAGGGAAGGGATCGTATAATCAAATATAATCCATATAATCTAATGCTTTAGACTCTGGAGTTAAAGAGAAACCCTGAGGGTTGTGTTGTTTTTATGTTATTGGTTTAGTTTTTTGTTGTTGTTTTTTAACATCCAAGGGTCATAAAATTCCTCGAATGTCATGTCCTCTGAGTAAGACAAACAGAATCTATGTGTGTAGATTTTCCAACAAGGGAAAGTGCTCAAGTACATTAGACATCAATGTCCAACTTCAGCATAGGGGAAATCAGGGCCCCCACCAGAGCCTTTTAAGAAGTTTTGACAGCAGGTACCACTGAGGTTTTGTCAATCACTGATCAGCCTCCAGCGGCTGCCACGAATGTTCATTCAATCTATTGAGTAGACCCACACGGAACCAAACTTCCTGGTAGATTAGAGCAAGTCCTGATAGATAAATCAAAGTCTAATCTAGTACATGGGCTGCTTCTGTTCTCAGCACATCCCTCTGCAGGAAGGGAAAGTCCATCAACTGGGCCTTCTCTCTTCTTTGTCATTATAGACCCCGAGTTAACATTATTTTAATGCTAACGTGTGGACCAGATACTTTAGTGATGGCTGCAAAGGGTCTCTAGATGAAGATAAATCAGTGTGACGGCATTCTCTAAGCAGTCAGTGTGGTAACACAGCATGTCTGTTCCAGTCCACTCCGCTCTGAAGCCAGCCAGCCCCGGTATTCCCAAAGGAGTTGGAAATCATTTTCTAGATGCTAGTCACCAGACTATTTGTACATCCTCTAAATTCTTCTGAGTTCAAAATTACTCAGCCCCCTCTTTTTAATAACACAAAGCTCCCACCCACAAGCCATGAGGAATGACTTGAATCTGAACTAAGTAACAAGAGCTAACAATTATAAAAGCATAGGGTATGCCTACGAGTGTGCCGAGCCTTTCCATGCATTTCCTTAATTAAACCTAACAACTCTATAAGGAAGGTGCCATTATTTCCCCCAACTAACAGATGAGGGGAAAAAATGAGGCACAGGGGTTACCTTGCTCAAAGTCACTAATCCTAAATTGAAACTCATGTCTGAATATGCACTTTTAATCACTATGCTGCTCATGCTGACTCTCTGATTGCAAAATTCTTTTTTTTTTTTAATATTTTTTATTGATTTTTTTTTTTTTTTTTTTTTTTTTTTTTTTTTTACAGCGAGGAAGAGAGAAGGATATAGAGTTAGAAACATCGATGAGAGAAAACCATCAATCAGCTGCCTCCTGCACACCCCCTACTGGGGATGTGCCCACAACCAAGGTACATGTCCTTGACTGGAATCGAACCTGGGACCGACCCTTCAGTCCGCAGGCCGATGTTCTATCCACTGAGCCAAACCAGTTAGGGCTCAAAATTCTTCATAATGAACCTGAAACTTAGAGAACTGATGAAATGGACCAAGAAAATAAGGAGAAGGAACTCAAGCTCCTTTCCCAGTTTCACCCACATTTCAAAATGACCTACTTAAGAAATGGTAAGAGTTCCTCCCAGCTGAAAGAGACTGTTGTGGCAAAGGAAACACTGCATTCGTGGCGGCTTTATAAAGTTAATATTTAGTTGATTAAAAAGCATACCCTTGGCCTAACACAAGAATAAGGAGGAGAGAAGAAAATGTCCTAGGGACAAGCTTTAATGAATGAGTCAAAGTCATGGCCCCACTGCTTTCTTTTCCTTACAAAAGGATTCCAGACCTTGCAGCCTGCTTAGCCCCATGGAATAGCCTAGACCGGTGTCGCTTATGAAATGCCTCACTCCCAAGGGTGGCAGAAGGTTCAGGATCTGGGCACCGGGGCAGCAGAATGCTCTCTCGCTGAGGATCAGCACTGACCTCCCAGGCTGGTCCAGGCTTCCCCACACACGGGAGGAAGTTCCTTCCTTTAGCTCTCCCCGCAGCCTGAACCAGCCACGGCTCAGTGCCACCGATTAGGCGTGGCTCCCACCTTCACCATGAACAGTGTAGTGGGACCAGCAGGGGGGAGTGCAGAACAGAAAGCGGCAGAAACACCCACCCCACCCCCAGAACCTCCCCTCAGACATGCCCAAACAGGCACCCACCTGGATAAGCTTCCCTTGTAGGCTTCCAGCCCTCGTACCTGGGGCTCGACTGTTCTATTCTGTGGCTTGCTAAATAAGAAATGTTCTGCCGAAACCGGTTTGGCTCAGTGGATAGAGCATCGGCCTGTGGACTGAAACGTCCCAGGTTCAATTCCGGTCAAGGGCATGTACCTTAGTCGCGGGCACATCCCCAGTAGTGGGTGTGCAGGAGGCAGCTGGTCGATGTTTCTCCCTCATTGATGTTTCTAACTCTCTATCCCTCTCTCTTCCTCTCTGTAAAAAATCAATAAAATATTTAAAAAAGAAAGAAAGGAAGGAAGGGAGGGAGGGAGGGAGGGAGGGAGGGAGGGGAGGGGAGGGGAGGGGAGGGGAGGGGAGGGGAGGGGAGGGGAGGGGAGGGGAGGGGAGGGGAGGGGAGGGGAGGGGAGGGGAGGGGAGGGGGAAAGGAAAGAAAGAAAGAAAGAAAAAGAAAAAGAAAAAGAAAAAAGGAAGGAAGGAAGGAAAGAAGGAAGGAAGGAAGGAAGGAAGGAAGGAAGGAAGGAAGGAAGGAAGGAAGGAAGGAAGGAAGGAAGGAAGGAAGGAAGGAAAGAAGGAAGGAAGGAAGGAAGGGGAGGGGAGGGGAGGGAGGGGAGGGAGGGGAGGGAGGGGAGGGAGGGGAGGGAGGGAGGGGAGGGGAGGGAGGGAGGGAGGGAGGGAGGGAAGGAGGAAGGAAGGAAGGAAGAAAAGAAAAGAAAAGAAAAGAAAAGAAAAAGAAAAGAAAAGAAAAGAAAAGAAAAGAAAAGAAAAGAAAAGAAAAGAAAAGAAAAGAAAAGAAAAGAAAAGAAAAGAAAAGAAAAGAAAAGAAAAGAAAAGAAAAGAAAAGAAATGAAAGAAAATGATTTTAGCGGGGCTGAGTGCTCAGGCCCCAACAGAGTAAATGGGACCAGGAGAAACCACACAAAAAGGCAGCAAAGAACACTGCAGGGAGGCAAGGCAGTCAGAACAATTCTCCTTTCACAAGACCCTCCAAAAGGCGGCCCCTCGTGTGAGATGAGTCTCCAGCTACTTCCCAAAGTCGAAGGCTGGAAACCAAGCATTGCCCTCTGAGTGAGTGAGCAATTCCATCCCCGGGAGGGGTGGGTGCACGCGCCTCTGGCAATGCAGGCGCCTTCTTTTTTCTACAGAGACGTGAGCCACTCTTCCTTAAGTTCTCACCCTATGGCGCTCTGCGAGCACAGGACAGGTGCTATCGGTGTGGCTCCCGGCTTAGTGCTCACAGCATCCATGTGTAGAATCTGCATTATTATTTCCTACAGTCAGGGAGAGGACTCCAGTTAAGTAATAAAACACTCGGCCCCCACTGGTGAGAGAGAGAGACTCAGAAGTAGAATCCAGCCTAACCCCAAAGACCTCCGCTCGTTCCTACTATACCATGACTGGGTTTCAAATGACATTGCTTCGGTGGAAATTATCTCACTCTTTCGACTGTATTGCCTTTAATCACGACTCAAATCAAAAATTAATGGTCCTTTGCCATGACCGTGTAAAGGAATTCAGTTTACATAAGTGGGGGGACGGCACGGGGAGAGGGGAAATCAGAGGATGGAAATCTGTTCTGCATTAGGCTCTTTCTTCCCTGCCATTTGGCTCACTTTCCTTTTTTGAGGTGGGGAAAGTAGGGAAGGAGGAGGCACATCTGGCCAGAAATTACTAACATCTTTCCATCTTTCCAGGGTTTATTTTAGGGATGCAGATTACCAGCAATGTTTGGATAGGCGATTAGCCGTCCGCGGTTGATTTCCCTGTGCCTGTGGTTACATGGGCAACCCCCCACCATGCCTCATCCAGGGGCTGCGGGGACAGGGGTGGATGCTGGCCCAGGAGCCGTTTGGGACCGATCCCGTCTTCCTCGCCGCCCAGGCCCCCAATGCTGACAGTGTTTGGCCCCCCCGGGAGCTACGCCCCTGGGCTGTGTCCTCAGTTTGCAATGCACCTGGTGGTGGCAGGCAGGGAGGAGGCAGCCCAGGAGGCAGCAGCTGGTGTGATGGAGTCTTGGGTCCTGGGTTTTAACTGTGTGACCACAAAAATCTGTTTTCGGGCTTTCTGAGTGTCTGTTTTCCATCTACAAAGCGTAGAGTGAAGTCTGCAGACCTAGCAGCACTACCATCCGTAGGCACCATGCTGGGAATACTGGGGGGGGGGGGGGGGGCAGCAAAGCTCATCTCCAGCATCCCCACACTGCTTTCTTCTCTGCCCTCTGGTGAGCCCACTCACCTGGGAAGAATGCTACAAAGGTCTCAGGCCCTTGACTTCAGCTACCTGCAACAGCTGGACTCCAAACTAAAACAAAATGAAACACTTCTCTGGCATTTTTTTGTTGTTTATTTGTAGCAACAACTTAGCATCTTTCAAGAGTAAACTATGACTCCACCTTTCAGCTCACTAGTCACTGCGAGCAAGAATCCAGACACCTAGAAACTGAGAAAACCCAAAATTTAAGGCTACCATTAGGGGCTTCCTCAGAAATGTTAAAATAAATAATCCTTTCTATTCAGGTAAGCCCTTAAAGCTTCATTCCACTTCAGTCACCCAAGCCATGTTTTTTTTCTCCCAAATCACACTTCC